GTACACAGGGAATCCTACCATGAACGTGTCTCATACCGGACAGAGTATGGAGACTTGGTAACTTGGCGCTCATACCAGACAGGATATGGGGACGACCTGCTTCACTCTCATACCGGACGGAGTATCGAAGTTTGGTAATTTGGTGCTCATACCGGATGGGGTATGGGGACGGGCCGTAATTGAAAATGTTAAAGGAAAAAGTTCACGCATAGCGGGAACATCCCTATGAACCCCCATGGATACCAGCAGGCTGGTGGAAAAATGGGCAATTGTTGTTTTGATGATTTGAATATAAAAGTATAATATGTGTTATGTTGCCAACTATATACAGAATTATGATATATATAATATTATTATTTTCTTTATGTAATTTTTTATAAATCTCATTACGGTAAGTAGACGGTAAATAATTTTATTATTAATAAATGAATTTGTTTAATTTAATGTTACATTAGTGGTTTTGATTTTCTACGAACATTCATTTCTTAATTTTCACCTATATTTTTTTCAAATTATTTTCATAAATTTTATTTTAAATTAAAATTAAAAAATTATATTTATAAATAAATCTTAAATTACATTAAAAATTAATTTAAGGTATTACACAATTATTATTTCTATATCTTTCTAATATAATTTTTTTTTTTGGAAGGTATTAATATACAATATATTTGAACAAATTAATAATACTAATTTTTTCGAACTCAATTTAATAAAGTAGCTCCATAATAATAAAAAAAAACAAAAACAAAAACAAAATTACAAATTGAAGTAGTACTTTTTAATTCTTTACCATCTGAGTCAGTAATGCTATATATAGATAAGTGAAATGTAACAGGCACGTACGTACGTATAGTGCATCTAGCTTTATAAACTTTTTAATATAAAGGTATATTTATGAATTACAACAGTGGCATGCAAGCAGGAGTCACTTTCAACTATAACTCCCACACGTTCAAGTACTGCACCATACATACATGTATATATATATATATACATGTGGAAATCTGCTGCTCATCAGCCTACGTACGTACATATAGTCATCATCATTAGTTATAATAATGCATTCCTTTTGATCTAATATTCTCATTATTTGCCTCCACTTTAACTTCGTTGATGTGATTTTATGTAATTAATGTTTAGAATATAAATAATTGGTTAGATTTTCTGGTTATTTTATTTTTATTAAAAATTGATCTTGTAGAAAGTTTAAACACTAGCAGTACAGCATAATTATTTACGGGTATGGAAGTACGTTAAAATAAAATTAATTAATTAAATGATTTTTATTAACTTAAACTTTTAAATAATCAATTTAATCATTTATTTAAGAATTAAAAATTATAATTTTCTTTTAAATAGAAAATTAATTAACATGTCATATATAAATATTGGAATTCAAAGTCTTTGTTTGGTTATGCGGGTGATTGTTTTTCTTTAAATTAAAGTGTAAAGTGAAAATACATAATCTTTTTTTGTGTTATCAAAGAAGCAAAGTAATAAAAGCAGACATGAAACGTGAGCTCCACATGATCAGGATACATAAGGCTCTTCTTTTTTTTGGTTTCTGGGTTTAATTTGCATGATGAAATGAAGCAGAGAAGATGGCCACGTGAGATTGTCATGCAAATATATGTATGTATATATATATACACACACAGTGGACTGAAGCAGTAGAAAGTATATAAATCAACATATATATATATATATATACGAATCAATATTCCAATGAATTAATCTTGTAATTAAGAAAGACTTATTACAATTATTGATTTCAGCTTTAAAAAAAAAAAAAAAAAAGGCTTGTTGTCAATCAGCTTTTTCAGTCAGTACTGTGTATGTATATTATCATCATCATCATTATTGTATGAAAAAGGACCCAGATAAGGAATCTTATCCTTAATGACTATTCCAAGAAATTTTACAAACTCTTCTCCTTAAACTTCATCTATTAATCTATCTAAAGTACGTATGCACATAGTTATATCAATAATATATATATATATATATATATATACACACACACACACATACAACTATATCCACATGAACATACTTGTACGCCACACATTTGGCTAGAGCCAGTTAGGAGAAATGAAATCCAATCCAAGCAAACTCAAACCAGTTAGGAGAAAGCACGAGCAATTAATCCATTAAATATTATTTTGAGAAAATTAGTGATATTTCATATCATATATATTTTGATCTATTTCAAATTGAGATAAATTAACTAAGAGATTTTAATGACAAATTATCTAATATTTGATTCTTTTAATTATTGACTACTACAATCCTATTTTATAGATAATTAATTAATTAATTAATTTTCTTTCTAAACCAAATTAAATAAAATAATATAACAATCATTAATTTTTTTTTTTTTAAAAAAGAGAAAATATTTTGATTCCTTTGTATTAATTACAAAATATTTTGTTTTTCTTGATCTATATATATATATATATATATATATACACACTAAATTTCCCCCAAATTTTTATATTTGAATTATATCCTAATGACTATTTCAAGCTTAATTAAGCACTAAAATACATCAATATTAAATCTACCGCACTAATTGTCAAATTATGGAGCAGATACTAAACAAATCAAAGTCATCTCGAGTAAGAGGTAAAACATCAACGAGAATATATTGTCTATTTCACAAATCATGGAGGGTGGAGTCAAACTTATTGAAATTTTTGATGCTTTGCTAATTTGGGATTAATACATTTAACTTGGTTGATCATGAGAACTTATCTTCTTAATTATTTGATTAATCAACCTCCATTTTGGACATGCATAATGCCGACACCAAAATCACAATATCATTAATTATGGTTTCTCTTTCTCCTTTCAATTAATTTTCAAAAAGAATTTTTATTTTTTATTTTTATATCATCTATATAAGCTGGATAAATTTACTAAAAATAAATTTTAAAATTTAAATAATATAAATTATAACAAACAATTCTTTCTTGAACTGAAATATAATATAAGATTAAAATTGAAGGACTAGATTTATAAATTTTTACATTTATTTCTTCAAATTTATTTCAATCAAAAAAATTAAAAATAATTTATAAAAAAAAAAAAAAAAAAAAAGTTTTCTAAAACTTTTACCATAGAAAGTCATGGTAACGTTTACGGTTCCACAAACGGTCATCTCTTCACAGCTAAGCAGTCAACATAAGTGAGATTTTGTGTAGTCCAACTCACGCACTCCGTCACGGTGGCTTGTGGTGATCTGGCAGTGCTCCTCCTTGAACGCCACGTGGCAACTTGAGTAAATCAGACGGCCGTTATGTCATTGTGATGATGACGTGTGCATCTCCTCTTTTTTTTTTTTTTATTCGTATCTCTATACTATTTATTAAGTGGCAGCACACTAAATAAAAATTACTAATTTCAATATGCTATCAGTTTTATCTCTTTGCTAATTATGATGCTTAATTCTTACTGAAACAATCAAAATTAATTTAAATAAATAGGTTTTTAACTTCCTATGTTTAATAAAATAATTTTTTTAAGGTAAAAAAAAATATATATTTTATTAATATTAATACATAAAATACATCATAACATGTCAGTTAGTCAATAAATTGTTTGTTTCATAAAATTACTTTTAAAAATATTTTATTTAAAAATTTAATTATTTTACTTGTGACTGCATTAACAAGAGTCTGAATTATGAAAATTGAGATGATTTTATCGAGAATGTCAGAATCAATTTAAAAAGATAATACCTTATTTTTACTCATTAAGCGAGACTTTTGCTGTTATTACTTTTTCAAGATTTGAAAATCGAATCACAACTTAAAAATAATAAGATATAGCATAATAAAATATTAAGAGAATATTGATTTTTTTCACACGTTATACCAAGACATGGACAAAAACACATAAGATGGAGGGTATGCTTGAACCGGGTAGTACCACAAACGGACAAAAAAAAAAAAAAAATAGTTATGATTAATTTGAGAGAAGGTGAGTTTCGAAACTCTCTTATTAAGACTATTGAAAATTAGGAATATAGTTTATGCTCTTAGGTATACTTTTTGTTTTTTTTTTTTTTGCCCCTTTAGTCATGGGTTGGATTCATTTCTTTACTTCTTTATTTTGATTGTTATAAAGAGATTTCTATTTGTTCACCAACACCCCATTCCCCATATTCTAATTTTGTTGATTGTTGTTTTATTGTTTGAAGGCACCAATTGATTTAGACTCACTCTTTTCTTTTGATTCACCATGGATGGAGGAGTCTAGTGCACATGGTTTTCTAGATATAAATAAATTATATCATTTTGAGTTTTTATATTCCACTTTGAGCACAAATTTTGCATATACACAAGCGAGTAAATGCCTACTTTAACTAGATTATTGTGTAGATGTTGTCAATTTAGCGATGATGGGTAGAAAATGAAATTAATGAAAAATAACTTTTTTTCTTTTGAAATTTACTTTTTCAGATTTTGTACATAAAAAGGGGCTGTTTGATTAATCATCTTCAACGTAATCAAACTTGGCAACTTGAAATCCACTTCTTGTGAATGACCCTAAAAATTCTTAAATCTAATTTTTATTAATGAAGACTATTATTATCTCAATATGTACTGATTTTAGATTTATAATTAACATATAAATCAAGCAATTTGAAAGTTGAAGACATGCGCGTGCGTTATATATACATCATGATTCAATTAATAATAACTGATATAATTTGCAGGATGTGAAACGTGTGAATTTATGTGAAAATAACTGTGTTGTTGGGTTGGGTTAAACACAATGTTTTCTTAACTGTTGGATTTTACCCAAGTGCCCCCAGAGAATCCAAAATAGCATGCAAACCTCCAGCCACCATTTGTCTCAAGCACATACCCTCCTGCATCGCACGTGCCCCCCTACGACATGCCACGTCATGTAATCATGGATGTACACATACATCATGATGATGATGATGGATATATACTCTCTCATGCATTGTTTTCGGCTTCAGATCTAATAGCTCCTAGCCCATTGTGATAGAAAGTAGAAACTGAAGTTCTCGTCTTATACTTCTATTTCTTAGAGAGAGAGAGAGAGAGAGTGAGTGTTTTCGGCTGCTCCAAGCCAGATATATATATATATATATAGAGAGAGAGAGAGAGAGAGAGAGAAAGAAAACTCCAGAACCAGAAAGAGGAACTTCAAAGCTTATCTCTACTGAGATACAGAGTCCCAAAAAATCAATGGGCGAGGTTCGATAGTCTCTATCTCTCCCTACTATCTGCACCACTAGGCATCTATTTTTCATTTTGGAGGCGATTTCTTCTCTGGGTATACACCGATCTTGCGTTTCTTTTGGTATTTGTCGTTTTCTGTTTGTTTCAGGAAGAAAAGAAACCAACAGAGGAAAAGAAAATGGAGGAGAAGCCGGAGGAAGGGAAGAAGGCGGAGGAAGAGAAGAAGGAAAAGAAAGAAGAAGACAAAAAGCCAGAGAAACCGGCCGCGGAGGAAAAGAAAGAAGAGAAAAAGGCAGAAGAATCGAAAGAAGACACGGCTCCTCCTCCTCCACCGCCGCCGCAGGAAATCGTCCTCAAGGTCTACATGCATTGCGAGGGATGCGCCCGCAAGGTCCGCAGGTGCCTCAAAGGCTTTGAAGGTACAGAGAAGCCAATTACTTGGTGTATTTTTTGATTGTCTATTAATGAATCTTAATTGAGTTGATTTGTTTGGTTAATCTATAAAGGGGTTGAAGATGTGATGACGGATTGCAAGACCAACAAAGTGGTGGTGAAGGGAGAGAAGGCGGATCCATTGAAGGTGCTGGACAGAGTTCAGAGGAAGAGTCACCGGCAGGTGGAGTTGTTGTCTCCCATCCCCAAACCGCCGGCGGAGGAGGAGAAGAAGCCTGAGGAGAAAGAGAAACCCAAAGTTGAAGAAAAGAAAGAAGAGGTCTCTTTTTCTCTCTGCTGTTTGTATACTTTGTTGAAAGCTTTCTGTGATTTTTCTCTTTTTGGGTGGGCTATTCTCTATCTTTTTCAATTTTTTCCCTTTGTCTTAATCTCTTTAATTTCTTTTTCTTTTTCTTTTTGGATTGATTGATTGATTACTGGGGTTTATTAAGTGTGTTTTGATTGCATACAGCCTCCTGTGGTGACAGTAGTGCTAAAGGTTCACATGCATTGCGAGGCTTGTGCAATGGAGATCAAGAAACGGATTCAAAGAATGAAAGGCATGGTTCTTTCTTTTTTTTTTTTTTTCTTGTTTGGTTAAATTGATGAATCTCGTCTATATATATTCTTGGTTTTTCTTTTTGGGTGAGGATCATAGGATTCTGATTCAATTCCTTTTCGTTTCAGTCTTTTGAAATCATTACACAAGTGATCTAACGACTTTTATTTTTTATTTTTAGCTGAATTTCATATTTTATAAAAACTAATGTTATTACCTTTCAGAATCTCCTTAAAAAAGGAGTTTATTTTCTCTCTCTCAATAAATTATTCAATTCAAATAAAATTCCCTTCAAATTATAGTCAAATACTTGAGTAACTCTTAAAATAATGGAAACTCTGAATCAAATCCCACTAACCCCGCATCAAAATTCTTCACATCTAACATTGAAGAGACCATTCTTCTTGTTGGGTCATATCGAAAGCTGATGGCATGTTAGTGTATTGCTGTTTTAGGAGTGGAATCTGCAGACCCAGATCTGAAAAACTCCCAGGTAACAGTGAAAGGAGTTTTTGATCCTCCAAAACTGGTTGAGTACGTTTACAAGAGGACCGGCAAGCACGCCGCGATCGTGAAGCAGGAACCACCGCCGGCAGAGAAGAAAGAGGAAGACAAAGGAAAAGAAGACAAGAAAGGCGAGGAAGGTGGCGAGAAAGAAAACAAAGGTGGCGATGGCGGGGGCGGTGGTGGAGAAGGCGAAGGAGAGAAGAAAGAGAAGAAGGAAGGTGAAGATCAGAAAGGTGAAGGCAAAGGTGGAGAAGAAGCAGCGGCCGCCATAGAAGAAACTAAAGTTGTGGAACTGAAGAAAAATGAATACTTGTACTACATCCCACAGACACAGAGGTATGCCATGGACATGTACCCACTACATCCATACCCATACCCACCTCAGATCTTCAGTGATGAGAACCCTAACGCCTGTTCTGTCATGTAAAAAGATGGTGAAGTGAAGGGCAATATAGGAAATAGAAAAATATCCAAATAGTGGGAGTTGGATCTCTCTCTGTCCTGCTCTGCATGTGCTTCTGTACTCTGTGTAGTTCTTGCTATAAAGTATAATCTACAGATAAACTGTAGAATTTTGTGAGACTCTGTACTTTTTTGTTATTTTATAAGGTGTTACTATTTTATTATATAAAAAATATATAAAGTCCCATATGCAAAATTTAAACCTTGTACTTTTTTAAAACTTTTTATAATTTGTGTATTATTATTATTATTAATTAGTCATTTGGAAAACAGAATCTAATTTGTTGTTAGTAGGTAACCCATCTGAGTGT